TTTTAAAGTTAAGTTTTACGTTTTAGTTTTTATTTATTAATTATAAGTAAGTAAGTAGTCTGTACGTAAGTAAGTAGTGTGTGTGTGTGTGTGTGTGTGTGTGTGTGTGTGTGTGTGTGTGTGTGTGTGTGTGTGTGTGTGTGTGTGTGTGTATATTCGAAGTATTTTCATCTTTGGAAAATTAAATAAAATGTGTACAAATGACTATTAACACATTTAACACGTTATGAATACCTCCGGGGTACTAATTTGTTCTAAGTTTTTGCATTGAATCTCTCATAACGTATCAGAGCTAAATCCGTTTTCCAGATGTGCTTTCAAATATCATCAATGATATTCTTGATACAAATGAAAACACTGCACCAAAGGCATGCTATACAGTGGTCCTGGAAGGATATGAGATGATAAAGGAGACAAACCCCCATGGAAGAGTTTACTGATGAGAAGAAAATATAAAGCCAGGTCAGCCAAATCAAACAGAAAAAGAAGAAGGAAAGGCAAGCAGTTGAAGGAGGAGCCCAAGGAGTTGTTTAGTTATGAATTGTGTACTGGTCAACATAAGTATTCATCCCCAAAAAACAACAAAATCGTACAACAATTGTCATTTCTTTGTATTTATTGTCATGAAAGAAAAAAGGAAAAAACAAAATAACAAGAAAATGAAAAGAAAAGGGCCCACTTTTCCAGAAAATGTAACCGAAATTGCAATCTTCAAACGATCATAAAATGTCGAGTATTTATGCCTAAAAAAGATAACTAAAAACACCTTTGAAAATAGTTTTCGCTTTTCTATTTTAGTACTAAATGTTCTACTTCAGTGTTCAAATTCTGCAGTTAACGTTCTGCAGAAATCGGTAGTATATCAGGAACTTTTGCCAGCCCCGAGGTATGAATTACGTGTTCTAACTTTGGAAGAAAATTTCAGACGTTAAACTACGCCCATCACGCTACGTCCCACCCAATAATCAATATAGCATACAACATTGCCCCTCCCTATCTGCAATATATTAAGAAATTTTGCCACTCTGAGGTATGCATTACCTGTTAAATAATATATTGTACAAAGACATGTTCAGTAAGACACGAGATAATAAAACAACAAAAAAAAACAGTAAATACAACATCAGTGAAAGTAAAACAAAAGAAACTTTCTACCTGAGAGTGCAACAGCAACTTTTTCAACTCCCCCAAGAGGTGCTAGCGCATCTCGTGCTTTGCTTCCGAAGAGTTTCTCAAGATAATTTGGGCCGTGATTGGCCAAAAGAGTCTGTAGAAAGTTGGCTGTCTCTTCCACGGGAGGGCGCTTTGCTAGAGTAAATAAACAATAAAAAGCATAAGATTAAATTTACTAAAACTCTTAAAATATACGTTTCTCCCTAATATTTGAAATTTGTTTTAAATTTATTTTGTTGTATTTTACGTTTTCGAGATCTAACGCAGATATCCCTCATTAGTTGGGTATCCTTGTTGTTAACAGCACTTTCGGCCGTAAACCCAATAACAACTTATGATTGTTTGTTCGAAGTTAAGCACAAAGCTGCACAATGAGCTTTCTGTGCTCTGCCCACCACGGGTATCGAAACCCGGTTTCTAGCTTATGATTGTTTGTTCGAAGTTAAGCATAAAGCTACACAATGGGCTATCTGTGCTCTGCCCACCACGGGTATCGAAACCAGGTTTCTAGCGTTGTTAGTCCGCAGACATACATCTGTGCCACTGGGGGGCTTTAAAGAAAGACAGAGAAACTTCTGACGTTGCATTACTAAACCAATTCGAACTTCATTTTTTTGCACTGTTATGAAGAGTTTCACAATTTTAGTTGGAAAAGAACATCTTGTTTATTTAGAAGAATTTTTCAGACGTCTACATGAAATGTCAAACCATTTGGTAATTTAATCAGGGCCTGGAACCAAGGCTCCTTAAATATTATCCGTTTGTTCGGGTCCCAGCTGGATAAAATGACAAATGTCGAAATGGAAAAATCGATTTCACCAAACGAAGTTAAAGCTAAGATAAAAACTTTAAGAAGCTTTGATTCTGTTACTTTTCTCGTAATAACTTGTGTCCTTAAGAGTCATTAATTAAATCATGTAAGATATTTGTAAGATATCACTTGTAACAAGACGTAACAATTTGAGTTGAGGATTACTCGACAGTAGCTTTAAATCTGGTAACAGTGCATGTATATGTGTAGTTTTGGTTTATAGATTATTCAACTGCAACTACAAGCCCACTTGATTAACACGGTAATTTCGGAGTTCTCGTTGGAATAAACTGAATTTAGCCTTCGGTGAATTGTTTTCGAACTCGATGTCGGTAATAGTAGAGGCAAAGGACATCGAGCGAATCCTTTGTTAAACAGATATTGATAAGCATATCGTACTGTAAAGATTACTAGATGAGTTTACGATGTATGTAATTAGTTCAGCCTTGAGATTATTCAAGATTTTTCTGATTAGAATCAGTCTAGTTAATTAACGATATAATTCTTTAGGTACAGAGGATGCTCCGCAAAATTAGACTCAAAACGAAGAAGAAAATAGATTGAGATTCAAGTCTAATTTTGTGACGAACGTGTCTACTGAATACAGGTATTATAATTATGCAATGCGATGCCAGTGTTAGGAATATATACCAAGAAAGCAAAGTATACCACTTGAAACAGCTTCAGGAATACAGAGGTTGAGTACGTCATATTAAACCGATTGTGGAGCCTCACCATGTCGTTACAGTCTATATCGCCACGTCCGGTCACGCTCTATCTGATGATCGTGCATCTTACCAATAGGCCTGCAGCGTAGTTTCCATTCCAAATAGTTCCTTTGTAATGCTGTCATGCCCAAAGCATACCATTCGTCCTTGCTCACTTTTCATAATTATTAAAGTGTACGAATATGATAGTTTCAACAGTCTTATCGCACAGAAATCCATAGGCACTGCGTTCAATGACTTGATCTGTACATATTCGTATGAAATAGTATGAATACCCGTTTCATTCTTCGGCTAATCGAGTTATGCGACACTTGAACGGTAGTTACGACTGGAAGCCCCATCTTAGTATTCTGGTGAATACATAAACTGTTGGCCTCGTTTCCAGATGGAGATCCTTCGCAATTATATTACGCACTGTTATCTAGGACACGCGGACGGCTTTACTATGCAGGTTTCTTTCTGGTTGGTCCTCATCCCCCAAGTTGATACATATCCATGACATTTTCCAATGTCATTAAGTCCAAGGCCTATCCCCGTCTCTGATCTGAACAAATCATTATTACTGGAGTGAATGGAAAGGCTATTACATACCCTTCCCCAAAACGATAAATTATCGACGACATCACATTTTCTACGACACGCCAACCAAACAATGTCAAAACATAGTTTTGATACATTCCGTTTCATTGCGATTTCATATCGGATGTGGTTGTCACGTGACTTGTTCACTTCCATATTTTATTATAACGTACGTAACTTTGGAATATAACAACAGTATAAAGTATCTCTCTTGAAGAGGCTGTAGTAATATAATTTGAACCAGCTTTATTTATATACCAAGAATATAATCATAACGCGCCCAACGTTTTTATTATTACAAAACAAAAACGAAAATGTACGCTAAGTTTAATATGTAGGGTTCTTTGTTTTAGGTTTTTACTGATTTTTTTACCTTTTATCTTTGCTTAAGAAAAAAAAACCTTATCGACTTAAGCCGACTTAAGCCAGGATTTGGCTTACTTAATCTTAGTTTAAATAAACAGCTTATCGGTTTAAGCTTACTTAAACCTGGATTAGACTTACTTACTCTTTTTTCTTCTAGCGCAGTACCGCTAAAAACCAATAAGTGGCGCTGCGGAAGTTTGCTAATCAGTATTGTTCGTTAACACTGGCTGAGAGTTAAAAAAAAAAAAGCAGCGAATATTTGGTTTCTTCGAGCAAGTCTCTAAATATTTTAAATCTAAAAACGTATTGTTGCAAGCAAACAATATTACTGTGGCGGTTTTTGTTTCTACGTAACACTACTTGTTATTATTGTTATTGTTTTTTCTGTTTTCAGCAAGCTCACGAACATCCGAAAAATCCCTATCTGTTAACATGAGGAATGATTTTTCACACTATTTTTGCTCTATAACTCAGTCAAAAATTGTCGAATTTTGATGAAACTTGGCGAGCCTATGTAGAATATTATTCCTCATTGACCTGCCATAAATGGTCAGTGTACGTTGATAAAGACGACAAACCGACACATTTTCTTATTTTTTGAGGGACGAATATCATCAACGATGCATGGCAGAGGTCAGCGCCCTCTAGTTGAAATATGCTATTAAATGTTAATACGCAAAAATTCACAGTTTAGTTTTATATTTTAAAATTGTTTATAAGAATGGAAATACTGAGGATCAGTTCGCTTCTTAAGAATTTTCACCCTATGTGTACCAGAGACAACCCATAATCTCCTCTAACACCCCCACCTTTTAAAATTACTTCATTATAATATGTCAAATATTGGTGTAAAAAAAGTTATCTACAGGTGTTTCTCATATCCTTAAAGCTTTACGATTAATTTCAGAACTAATTCGTTAGGCTGGATGATGATATATTACAGTATAAATAGACAAATTAAGATGAATGTGTAAAAAAAACAAAAAAAACATGTTCTATCGTTAACTTGTTTTTACAACGGTTTTTAGGCCTATTGCTTTTATCAATATTTCGCAGGTTTTCGACATTTAAAACGTTTATTTTAGTTTTGTTAGTTTTAGTTAGAACATTTTTGTTTCTTGAAGCACTTAGCGATAAGGGCCTGGCATGGTCTGGTGGTTAAGGCACTCGACTCACAATCTACGGGTCGTGGGTTCGAATTCCTTCACCATGCCCTTTCAGCTGTGTGGACGTTATAACGTTCGATCAATCCCAATATTCGTTGGTAAAGAATAGCTCGTGAGTTGGCGGTGGATGGTGTTGATTAGCTACCTTCCCTCTATTCTGAAATTTCAAAATTAGGGACAGCTAGCGCAGATATTCCTCGAAATTCAACAAACAAACAAATTTATTGATAAAGTTTGAGAAACCTAACAGAGTATTAAGTAACTCACATTGAATAATCTAATAATATTGTTTTAACCACAGGCAGCCGCTCGTGCCAGCAGTTCTCCGTTTCCTAATTCTAGCTAAAATCGTTTGTTTAAAGAAGCGTTTGCGCCGTCCATGACGTTATCTTAACGTTCAAACAAACCTCCAGGGAAAAATTGTGATAAGAAAAACAACAGATGGTACGTCTTGTATTCTGATACAAGACTATAATAAAATTATTTTTATTGTTCACCAGCCAGGAAGTAAAAACTGGCAGTTACTTGTTATTCCCTGTGCGTTGAAGATACATATAGAGGTATCTTTTCCTGAGAATTATACTCCTGAGAATAAACATGGTACAGCAAGTGCGCTCAGTTACCTGGGGGGGGGGGAGAGAATGGTTCTTCAATAGTTAGTAACTTCTGTAACTTTATTAGGCTTAGCTTTAAAAGGTGAACTTGCTATACAGTAGTTAGATTTGGTTATCTCTAGAGAAGGAATGGTTTTTATTGGGATCAACATTAACAATAGATAAAATGTCTACAATAGTGTCTCAACCTATGGCTTTACGCAACAATAGTGTCTCAACTTATGGCTTTACGCAACAATAGTGTCTCAACTTATGGCTTTACGCAACAATAGATAAAATGTCTACAATAGTGTTTCAACTTATGTCTTTACGCAACAATAGATAAAATGTCTACAATAGTGTTTCAACTTATGGCTTTACGCAACAATAGATAAAATGTCTACAATAGTGTTTCAACTTATGTCTTTACGCAAACATTTTTAACGACTCGCCTTCTCATAATATTATTTATCATACATAATTGATGACATATGTATATACACATAATTGATGACATATGTATATACATAAGATTATGAATATTTAATAATTAACGCCCCCAGTGGCACAGCGGTATGCCTGCGAACTTACAACGCTAGAATCCGGGTTTCGATACCCGTGGTGGGCAGGGCACAGATAGCCCATTGTGTTGCTTTGTGCTTAACTTCAAACAAACAATAATACTTAACACTGCATGTTCCTGATCGCGAGAAGGTTTATCCATGTACTTTGTTTCTGCTTATCTTTTGTCACAGTGCAGTTTCTGCATAAATTTAAAGATGAGGGAAAGTTTATAAATTCTCTTTAAAATTTTTTGTTCTGGTTTCTGCTTTTGGTTTTAATCTGAAGAAGGTGAACATAGGACCTGATCAACATGAAAGTGTTTGTCAACTGTACTGACCCGATTTTACCAATGGAAAGTTACCTCTTCTTTCACCTTACATTGCCATTTTTGGAGATTCTGTTATTAACTCCTGAAGAATAATAATCAACTATTCGAAAGCGCTCGAGTTTTGGATCTTATTTTAAATTTATTACACTTTATATGTGATCCTTTGTGATAACTCTTATCAAGATACACATCTACACACATAGTCAGAGAGTAAAGTAACAACAATACTATTACAAACGTATACGCACATAGTCAGAGAGTAAAGTAACAACAATACTATTATAAACATACACACACACACATTACTTTACTCTCTAACTACAATACTATTATAAACATACACACACAGAGTTAGAGAGTAAAGTAACAACAATACTATTATAAACATACACACACACAGTTAGATAGTAAAGTAACAACAATACTATTATAAACATACACACACACACAGTTAGATAGTAAAGTAACAACAATACTATTATAAATATATAAACATATACACACATAGTTAGAGAGTAAAGTAACAACAATACTATTATAAATATATAAACATATACACACATAGTTAGAGAGTAAAGTAACAATAATACTATTATAAATGTATACCAATCTGCTTAAATGCGTGGAAAATAAAATAATAACAATAAATTTCACACCAATTTGCTTTGACGCGTTTCTCATAAGTGGTGGAATAACAGTAAAACATTTGTTTTGTTAACAGTAAAACATTTGTTTCAATCCCTAAAGAAAGAGCTTTATCTGGCTGTTTTGACAATTTTGTTAATATTCCTATGCAAGATATGTCATTGTATCACATCTAAGCCCCTGTACACAGTCTTTGTTCTCCAGCACAGTTTAAAACCTCCACATCATCCTCACAGTGGCTCTACAGTAGAGACATACCTGCGGTACAGAGTTTAGAATTTTCATCATAACCATCAGGGCAGTCAGGAGCACCGTCACACAGATACTGGATCGAGATACAAATGGTGCGTCTCCCGGGGCAACGGAAAGGTCGGGTGGTCGGGCAGCGGTTATAATCATCTAAATGAAGAAGATAGAAATATATTCGGTTATGATTAACAATCACAGAAAGTTTTTCAAATTAGAAATAGTAATAGGACATATCATCAACTATAGAAAAAAAAAAAAAAAAAAACACTGTGCGTGTCTGACGATTCTGGTACTATCAAAAGCGCCATCTATAGACTTAAAAAGTAATTTTTCATAAAGTGACCTAAACCAAGCCATTCTTGCTTGATAATTAGGAGAAAGAAAAAAAAGATTGAAGTTAATCAGAAAAATAAACAATTCATTTTTAAAACGTTTCCAAATGGTATATTTCAGATTAATATCAATTTTCGCTCAGAGAAAACTATATACTTATATCCAAAAATAAAAATTAACCTGGTAATGAGTATAGCTAATTAAATATGCTGTTTTACTTTTTTACTTAGATTAGACTGTGCTGTTAGCGAAATTTTCGGGTATTAGTGTAGTTACACCACGATAATGAGTTGATTGTTTTCTAAAGAATATATTTAAAAATTCACGACTTTTTAACATAACGGGGATAATCGTTCATAATGTGATGAAAAATATTAAGTAGAATCAGGTATCACGTGACGCCATGCCGCTAGATCAGGTATCATGTGGCGCCAACTAGCATGCGGCGTTAGTTTGCATAAATAAAAATAACTGACTATATCAAATGAATAGAGAGTAAAAAATTGAGAAATTAAGTTAAATATGACAGTTTTGTAAAACTTGTGCTCATGTTGTACGTTTCCGAACAAAGCAATCTAAGTCAAGTTTTAAAGTTACAAAAAAAACAAAAACATTTATATCTACAAAATAGCTAAATCTAAACCATTGCTTGACATAAGTCTGTGTTCGCTTTTAACTGTCGAACTGATGGACCAGTTACTGCAAACCTCGTCAGATGTCCTTAGGGCCCTCCTGGAGTGACATTGGAGCGTCGTCAGTCGAATTTGATTCCATATGTCACCCTCAGTGGTTCCTATTTCTTCCCTGTGCGTTGAACGGATAAGTCAGTTAATATATATCTATTTAAATATTAAGTAGATGAAAATGATAATTGCAAATTTTATATAGTTTGAGAGAAAAGTACCAACTAAATTGGTGATATAATTTAGTTTTTGTCTTAGCATTTTACAAAATTTACGAAAGCAAAAAATGGAAACGGAGTTTTATTAACCACAAATTTTCATCCTCAACTTATCTTCGACATGAAATGATGAATCCTTGGCCAGGTATTCCCAAGTCAAGGAATCCTCAGCCAGGTATCCCTAAATCATTGAATCCTCAGCCAGGTTACCATGAATCATTGAATCCTCAGCCAGGTTACCATGAATCATTGAATCCTCAGCCAAGTATTCTTATGTCAAGAAATCCTTAACCAGGTATCCTTAAAATAAGGATTTTTAAAACAATTTAATTTGGTTCTTATTTTTGCTGGCAAGAAGAGAAAGTTCTCCAGACTAGTGGCTGTTAGTCCTGGATTAGAGGAATGTTCTGTATCCATTGAACCTAATGAAGCGAACTGGAGATATTCCACAGAATATGTAATCTACTGCGCATATCGAACTTCTATAATTGCTCTGAACCTCTGATCAAATACCAAACATCAGCTAGTAGTTTAGTCTAGGACTTACGTAGCTGGACAAAACTACAAGCTTCACTTCAGGGTTTTTATGTCTACCTAGTAATTAGTCTTCCATGTTATAGTTAATCTTTCTTTGGTTAGTGCGCATAATATGGTTCAAACTGATTGAATGTAGTCAACATTGTAACTAGTGTATGGTACGTCATTAATGATCCAAATGACTGAAACCCCTTGAATGTAGTCAACATTCTAACTAGTGTATGGTACGTCATTAATGATCCAAATGACTGAAACCCCTTGCACTAGTTAGAATGTTGACTACATTCCAGGATACGTCATTAAAGATCTAAATGACTGAAAACCCTTGAATGTAGTCAACATTGTAACTAGTACAGGATAAGTCATTAACGATCCAAATGTACAAACATTCTGAGTGCAGCAAACAATACTACTTTTTTTTAGAAAAAAAAACGAACGTTTGTCGTTTGTTGTGTTGATTTATCAGCTTGATTTAATTCAGCGGCTCTTGAGCGTTTCTCCAATATTTTAGTCTTAGCTGCCCACATGACCCTAATGGTCTGATAAACGCTAATGACATGCTGAGAACTGTTTGAAAGACAAACATGAATCCTACCCCCCACACACACACACATTTATTATAAAAAAACTAATATAAATTATAAATTTGCACAACACGCCTTCTTCAAATCAATAGTAATTATCTTTATCATCTTAGAGAATATATGCTCATACATAATACGTGTATTTACAATGTGCGTTTGTGTTTATACAATAAAGCCTGCGTGAATCCAGTGTATACACTTACAATTAATTACATTTGTACGACAGCAATATTTTTCGTGTTTTTGTTTAAATTTAGCTTCATGTTTATGTGGATGATATTCAGATATCTATATTCTACCATATCTCAAATTATAACATTTGCTACAGGATGTGTGTGAAGAACATTTTGTATTTACAATGATTATATTTAGAAAGGGAAAGACCAATTCACCACATCTAGGAGTGGTTTGGCTAAAGACTATTTCACCACATCTAGGAGTGGTTTGGCTAAAGACCAATTCACCACATCTAGGAGTGGTTTGGCTAAAGACCAATTCACCACATCTAGGAGTGGTTTGGCTAAAGACTATTCACCACATCTAGGAGTGGTTTGGCTAAAGACTATTTCACCACATCTAGGAGTGGTTGGTTAAAGACTATTTCACCACATCTAGGAGTGGTTTGGTTAAAGACTATTTCACCACATCTAGGAGTGGTTTGGTTTGCTTCGAATTTCGCGCAAAGCTACATGAGGGATATCTGCACTAGCCATCCCTAATTTAGCAGTGTAAGACTATAAGGAAGACAGTTAGTCATCACCACCCACTGCCAAGTCTTGGGCTAGGCTACTCTTTTTACCAACCAGATGTAGGAACGTTGAGAGCCAGAAGATCAGGAAGGCCTGGATATGGTACAGGTGTTTCTAAACCACATTGTACGGCAAACCTAAATCAACTTTATTGCCGAGTTTAGCGTGTCCAGCTATTGAATCCGAGGATTTATGGTTGGTGTCCCGTAACCGAAAGAACAATTATCGCTCCGCACTTTGGAGTTGTGGGTGCATTATAAGGGTGACAATCAATTTCTACTCTTCAATTAGAGAAACCTAAGAGTTGGCGGTGGATTAAATTCACTAGCTGCCTAGTCTATGACTTGAAAATTATAAACGGCTAGCACAAAAAGTTCTCATACAGCTTTGAGTGAACATCAAAAACGACCAAACAAACAAGCTGTTATAATGTCTCCTCCAATAGGAAGGGTTTGTTTGTTTGGAATTAAGAACAAAGCTACACAATGAGCTATCTGTGCTCTGCCCACCACGGGTGTCGGAACCCGGTTTCTAGCGTTGTAAGTCCGCAGACTTACCGCTGTGTTAATGAGGATGCCCAATATGAAGGGGGACCTATTGTAGTTCTTACGTTTCTTTCTTCTTCTTGCCAGCAATTTCAGTTTGGAGGCACCCCTTCATTTTTTGCCCTGACAGTCTTCAAATTTAGAGAACAGATTTCAGGGCGTACTTGATATATGTTTCATTATTGAGAACGACGGTAAGCATATTGCACACCTTGTGTGACAATGTTTGACTCATTCTGTAATATGTCCAACCTCTTCTGAATAATAACAACAAATGATAATTTTGATATGGCTCCTGGTGGCATTCGGTTCCCTCTAGAACAAAGTTTTTAAATTTGTTTATTTGTTGAATTTCGAGAAGAAAAAGCTACTCAAGGGCTATCTGCCACTATAGAATTGATGATTTCAAATATGAGGTATACGTGCTATCAAATTTAATTCTACATTTAAATCATAATAAATGATGATACAATTAAAGATTTTTATTCTAGGACGCCTTCAATTACGATGTATATGGTCACGTTTTATTACAATCAATCAAAATACATGAATATCTTCACTGTAGTTGTTCTTTGTTGCACATTTCTCTCTCTGTTTCTGTTTGCTTCTCTGCGCCACCGTGACTTAGAAATCTGTCTTTTTACGCCCTCTTTGTGATCTAAAACTGTCATTTTACGCCCTCTTTGTGATCTAAAACTGTCATTTTACGCCCTCTTTGTGATCTAAAACTGTCATTTTGTTTCTGTTTGCTTCTCTGCGCCACCGTGACTTAGAAATCTGTCTTTTTACGCCCTCTTTTTGATCTAAAACTGTCATTTTACGTCCTTTTTTTGTATCTAAAGTTTTGTCCCACTTTTTTATGTTCTATTTTGATCTAAAAATATGGCTGTTTCTTTATAAAATCATGTCCGTATTTTGATGCTCTTTCCTTTTGATTTAAAACACTGACTGTCTTTCATACAGTCTTTATTTGATTTTAAACACCGCCTGTCTTTGTTTTCTTATTGACTTAAAATTGTCCCTAAAGTTCTTCTCTTCATCTAGAGCTTTGATCATTTTTTCAAATCAGTCGTTTTTATGTCTCTCTCTCTCTCATTAGTGCCCTCAAGTGTCTCACTGTTAAACTTGTATACTACTAACGCTAGAAATCGGGGATCGATACTCGCGGTAGGCGCATCGCAGATAGCCCATTGTGTACCTTTGCACGTAAACACAAGCAAACAAACTTATTAGTATGGCTCACGAACTCATTAGTATTGATCAAAGTTTCATTATTATGGACTTGGGGCTTATTAGTATTAATCTTGGACGTACTTATGTGAATCTAGGACTTACTAGTATGGATCAAGGACGTACTTATGTGAATCTAGGACTTACTAGTATGGATCAAGGACGTACTTATGTGGATCTAGGACTTACTAGTATGGATCAAGGACTTTTGTCCAACATTTTACTAATTAGTTTTCCTCTTATTGACGGCCAAGCTTTTATGAGAAAAACAAAGCGACCGCTTTTGCTCTCTTTTTTTTTTTTTTTGGATTTCTTCAATGCTAGAT